GCGCGGATTAAATATGGCAGACCCACTTGAGCGCTTGCCGCGCAATCCCCCTAGGGATGACTGTACCCCGCAGGGACGACGTGTGGGGAGGCGTGTGAGAGGCGGAGAGACTATTAAAAGATTAGGCGGTTTTCCTTTCATGTACGTCCGCCATATTTAGTCCCAGGATTTGTAAAGCCTGGCTCAAATCGTTGTGAATGCGGCCATAGACAACATAGAGGATGACAAAATGAAATTTGTGGCCACCACTACTCCAGTGATAGGTTTCTTCATGAGAAAGACGTATCAGACTAAAATAACTGTCAAAAGGGCACCTGTTAAAGGCACACACCACTTTAGACCTTTATATAGCACGAACGCACCCTTATGGAAATTTCAGGAAATTCGCCATCATCACCCAGGTACCCAGTACACCCTATTCAAAACCGCTGAAAATGATTAGCTATTAACCTGTTTTCGAACTCTTAATGCACAGTTTTTACCCGTGCAATGATTGAAATTCACCAGCCTGTCACAGAAATAAAAAACTAGAAATTTACACATAAAAAGGGTTTATGGATCGTAACTACGTGAACAGGAAAAAGTGTGAAATTTCCAGGAAAATCACGCACATTTGCTCTACATGTATAAAGATCTTATCTGTCGAGGCGATAATCACCAACGCGGGGGCACATTTTGAAGCTCTGTCGCCCTCCTAGGCTACATGTACTGCCATTCCTTATTGGAAGTAAACAAAAAGTAAATCACGAAGGAAAGGAATTCGTCTGATGCGCAAAAGACGCAATTGAAAAAATTAAAGAAAACAAATTGGAACTGACACATTTCATAACATTTTTTGTCACGAAATCTATTAAACGGGATGTATAAGAATTAGCGAATATCGGTTTTTTATTTCAATTGACAATAACAAGTTTTTAATTTGTTTATTTGGGGAAAATAACTTTAAGGAGAGGAAATGTTAGGAAGGTGATAAAATTTTGACAGACGTTTGTGCAGCTATGACGCACACATTACTGCATTCTTGGTAGACGTTTAAGACCTTCCAATGGTAACGCAAAATGGCGGGCACCTTAGTGCAGCGTTCTATTTTCATGGTTTTGCCAGAGAATTAAAGCATGAAACTTAGATGCTGGGATCTGTTCCTTGTTCGGCGGTTTGTGTGTACATGACATGTTTTACAAAATAACCTTTACGGCCAGAATTTGGCATCTTGTGTATAGAGTGAGAGGGGGAAAGACTTGGAGCACTCGCGCGTTTGTGTGTGTGTGTGTGTGTGTGTGTGTGTGTGTGTGTGAGAGAGAGAGAGAGAGAGAGAGAGAGAGAGAGATGGAGAGAGAGAAAGACGCGAACATATATTATAACACGAGAAAGAAAAGGAGAAATGGAAAGACAAAATTGGGAGTTTTCAAGGGAAAATGGAGGAGAGAAAACGTGAAGATACAGCTTAGAGGGATAAAAGTAAATCAGGGAAACAGCATGCAATCGATATGTTTTAAATGATGGACAATCACCAAATATCTTCCTTGACGTAGGCAGGCTATTAGGCAGGCGATTAAATGCTATTAGTACCAAAGCCACTAATCCTCGCTGTCGGTCGTAACCGGAAGTAAGTGGGAAATTGTTGTACCAGATTGTTTCTGCAGTGCAGTGTGTTATGTGCAGTTGGTCATTTGAAGTTTCACAGAAAGTTTTGAGTGCAGATACGGTGATTGACACTATCGATCTACAGTGCCGGCTAATTTTCGTCATCTTAATGAGACATAAGTAGCCGCATGGCCAGAAAATCCCTAAAAGATCTGTAAATGTGAAGGATTCAACCCTGTTCAATCAATATGTTCATGTTATTGACACAAATGAAAATATATAATGCCTTTTTTCGGCACAATTTTTCTTACGGACTGACAAATATTCTCCATTATCACTGTCTTTGAGCACTTGATAACAAAATTCCTGACAGATTTCGTCGTCTCTGTGTCGATACAACTTACTTCAGTGTCATGGGCTATCTCAAAATTCCCATGTTTTCTGCAAATTGATCGAAGTTAAATATATGCAAATCTCCAGCCAAACGATGAGAACCGCTATTGCAGCAACGTCTACTATATCGTATTGAAAAATAAATAAATAAATAAATAAATAAATAAATAATAAAAAAATAAGAAAATAAGACAAACGTTAGCCACCTCTGCGTCTGTCTCTTGCAGGTGGTTAATGTGATCAGATGATCCAAGGTTATCAACTCCACTCTTTGTGGATTTTTTTTGTGTGTGTGTGTGTGTGTGTGAAGAAGCTCTATTATATCTGGAACTCGTGTAAATTGTGTTAATCAGGGATGAGACAACTCGCATTAGGAAAAGAAAAGAAGAATTTAAAACAAAAAAGATGAAAAAAGTGAAAAAAAGAAAGAACATCGAATTTAAGCCTTGAATCAATTTATCTAATCCCTACAGTGATGGGCGATTTAGATGGTGCTTAATTCACGTCATGTCAGTGCCGAAAATTACCTACTTATTCTTCATTCTGCAGACACAGATTTTAGGACGAGGGATCGTCTGTCGATGAATGAAACTAATTTCTACGCGTTGGTAGTAAAATCGCACTAATACTTATATTATTGGAAATTTCAATAAGCAATTAAGATAACCCACCGTGTGTTTGGCAAATTTCCAGAATCGATCTTGCATATTCTATTTCCGCATAACGCACATTTGATAACGTGTTGTTTTGTTTTTCAGAAAAAAAGTATTTACCCTTCCTAAAGGTGGTAAACTATTATTTTACATTTCTAAGCGTCGTGCAAGTTGGGTCTGAGCAATATCACCTATTGGGGATTTTTAAAAAAAAATGAAGCAAAATTGTTCTTGTAAAATGCCTTTTATACATTAAATAATAATTTCTTAATCTCGTAACAAGAGGAAGATACGGCTTTTACATCAGTTTGCTATTATGCACCCCCACCCCGTAGTGACACTGGACTATTATTTATTCATGAATCTTCTTGTACTTTTATAAGGCAATATGGCAAGATATCGGTGACATGAAAAATATCCTCAAAGAATATATGACAAAAATTAGTCGCCTCCCCACGCGTCCGGTCGAATAGAGCCGAGATTTAATTACTGTGCCCCTGCACGGACGACGCGTGGGGAGGCGTGTGAGAGGCGGAGAGACAATTGCAGGATTAAGCGTGGGGAGGCGTGTGAGAGGCGGAGAGACAATTGCAGGATTAAGCGGTCTTCCTTTCATGTAGGGTCTGCCATATTTGATCCTTGGACCAGTGGATATTCGGATTTTCTATTCTGAATGGCCTCTGTCTTCCTTCAACTGGCCATAGAAAGTTACGACCACAAGCCAACAAGAAGAATTTCTCCTGTATATTACAGGCACGGAATTGAAGAATTTCTTTAGTTCGTTATCTCACATTAATGGCGACGTCTGTTCTTCGTATCACTGTAATCCACGAAAAGCCTTAATTCTGCACAAAAAATCTCTGCGGTGACGGTTCTTGGGTATAGCATAAAGGACACTTGTTCAGGGCGCCTCTACAAGAGGGCGCCACCTTACGATGTAGTTATTTGAGATGTGAATATCAGATGATTAGACGGCGGTGCAATTCCAGTGTTTGCCATTGAAGTTATTTCTGTAGATGCGCCCCTGGATCTCTGAAGGTATGCTGGCATTTAGGACAACCATGCATTTAAAACGATTTTTAATAATAATAATAATAATAATAATAATAATAATAATAATAAATAAATAAATAAATAAATAAATATGCATCAACTCCAAGATAGAGACGCTTGATTGAAATTCCCTTGCAGTTATTTTTGCTCTTGGTGCGACCTATCACCATGGCTCAATGTTTGTGGGCCACTTACAATGATATTCACCGCAACTTACGCATCAGCATGTTCTGGCGAAAATGTATTAACGTTATACAAAACGATGATAATACGAAAAAGTCACAGTGGACTTGCAAAAAGTTTACTTTTGAAAGATGTCTGGATGCAGAGCAAAATCTTAAGCAAAAGCTTTTTGAAAAATTGTGGCCAACGCAAAGACGGTGAGCTCTCTTTTACAGTGAGCTTATCTCTGTTATTACGATCACTATGACTTATTAGAAGTGGAATTGTGCTAGAGAAGATTGCCGAGGTTTCTCAGGTTGCGGCAACATTGCTGTTATTTTGACATCTGAAAAGAAGCTCTTTTTAATGAAACACACGTTTTCATCAATAAATTTAAATATCTAAAATTGGCAAAAAAAAAAAAAAAAAAAAAAAAAAAAAATTCTCTGAGAGATTCAGTATGTTAACGGTATTTGTTTTTATCAATTTGAGCTAACTACCTACTGTGTGCTCTAGCCCGAGTCCTCTGGAAAGGAATAACAAAACGCTTATTTCAGTCTTACTCTTAATTGCCAGTTTCTATGCCAGGAAATTTAATTTTAGATCGTAATAAAACAGCACATGGAATTGCTGAGCAACACCGGAAATTGACGCCTAACCAACACGAAAGTCTACGGTCAGACAAGAAATATTTCAGATTATAAAAGTAGCCAACCACTGTAAGATGGCTTACATATGTTATACCTTTCTCGTTGACATGGCCACTTGGGGACGCAAGTTTGGCTGATTTTCGGTCTTGAGTGGTCCCTGTATGAACAAACCACGGTACATCATTCATTGTAGTCCTATTAATGAGAGCCCCAGATAATCCGTACTGGCGAAGTTCTATCGTTCCGCCATAATTACACAGTTTCTTTAATGTCCTACTCGAAAGCAGTGAAAAAATATGTAAACAACCAGAAATGTTTTGTTCTCGAAGATTTAGAATGACGTTTTTGTACGAAAGTACGACATATTGTTGAAGCCATAATTTGCAAACAACAGGATGTTAGCAGCAAAATTACTCAGAATTCTTAGAACTTGTTTCATCAATACTCAACTAATGAGGCTTCGTCCACATTACCATCTGATTAAAAAGACGTTTGTCGGTTGACGCTCTACATTATAGGGCTGTTGACAATCTGCATCTACAGTTGCACTTCAAGTGGCAGGTGAGAAGGTAAGAAATGTTTGATATATATTTTAGGAGCATTTCCACCTTTAAATGGTAAGATTTGTCGTTTGGCACGGCGTGAGACTATGGATGACATTGGGAGGTTTTAACTTGTAAAATTTAATACATTGTTGACTGAAACTAAAAGCTTTGTCAGATGAATTTTGTGGGCGGTAAGTTTTCATGAAAGGCGAACTGAAGCTAAGTATTATGTTTCACTTGGACAATTATCGCTGCAAAAATGGACCACATGTTCAAATGTACGATTTATCTTAGTTCAGCTTCAATCAAAATGCGAATCATTTCCATCCATTATTTCTTTCTGGATGGGGCCTTTCGACAAAAATGTCTCTTTGTAGGTCTTTGTGTATTTTGAATAACAATTTTAAATACACGAAAACTGCCAAACTAAGATGCCGTGCAATACCAAAAAAATGTAAGTATTGCATATGTTAATGTACAGTAGGGTCTATCGCAACAACAGTTACAGTGGAATAGCATCAACACCTATTAATCTTTGATGGTGTAGAAAAACCTCCTCAATTTTAGGGATACAACAAGGCAATTTACTGGTTTTGTAATATCTAACTGATGAAGGTCTCGGCAATAGTTCAATTAAATTTTATACCAAACTCAGCTTTTCACTTCCCATGTGAAAATTAAAGACGTACACACTTTACAAAAGTATTGCCTCATGCCTCTGGAGTTGTCTACTCTCCATCAGAACCCAGCTGATTGGTTGCGTCAGTGCTATGCAAAAAACATTCACCGAACGGAAAAGTGCATGGAAAACGCCGGAGAAACAATTTCGTATATTTTGTGAAACATCAATCTGTGGCCTTCGTAGAGGATGCTGCGGGGGTGGGGTGGGGCGGGGGTGGGTGGGGTGGGGTGGGGGTGCGGGGGGGGGTGTCTCTGTTCACACAAGGATGTATGTAGGCACATTCAAGTTTTTACTTGCATCTTTTTCTTAGTGTCATGCAAGTAATGGTCTTTTCAGATTTGTTAGTCACTCTTTAGACACGGGTGTGAACAAGTATGCAAAATGGCAATTCACCCAGATTTACCTCCTTTTTCAATGCGTTTGCTATGTTGCAATACCGTTTGCGCGTGTGTATGTGTATATGTGCGTGTGTATGTGTGTCTGTGCGTGGGCGCCAGGACCTGTTTTCTATGACTTCATCAGTGTACATCAAAATCTCTTTTCTTTCCCTACCTCTTCGAAATGTCCTGTAATGCAAATGTCTTTTCACAACGGCGTGTCATTATTTTACACTAGGGCTTGTATAAGGATAAAGAAGCTTCATATCACATAGGTCACGTTGTCACATACATGTAAGTCACGTTTTCCAGGTCGCCAGAATCGCTATTTAAAACCGCAGCAAAAGCATTTCTACAACAGCTTTACGGTAAACCACTTCAAACTCATTGAAACCAGAAAAAAATTAACCTAACAAATAACAGGCTATAAACTGACAACGGTATCAAAAGGTTTACTTTTTGGGTCTTTTTCAGGTAAGAACCACATTCAGCGCGGTTGATGCGGGGATTTATATGAATTGACATTCACATGGGCTGCCGCGTGCCTGCTTAGTAAGGTATAAGGCTTTATTGGAGGACTGGCCGGAAATTACAATAAATCCAGAACCCTTGATCCTGATATTTTATCCCAAATTATTCATACAGTTTGGTGAGGTCAAATTAAGAACATCGACAAAACTGAGATGGATATCAACGTGACCAACAAAACTATACCTATCGTACCATGTAGAGATTTCAACTGTATACCTTTCATCGTGATAAACGTGTTGCAAGCGTTGTTATGTTTGACAGTCAATGCCGTCATGTTTTTAGCGTTTTTGAAATACCCATGGCTGCGCACCCAGACGAACATGATAATCTTTAGTATGGCTATATCTGATCTACTCATTGCCAGCGTTGTTATTCCTTACCAAACACTGGGCATTTACGTGGTTTATCTTGTACCTTCGTTACAATATCTAATGGACGATATGTACTTTTGCTTTGCAAGACTTGCCTTGGGTTCTATATTCAATTCCGTTGGTATCATGCATTTGGTTTTGATTGCCATTGAAAGATATATGAAAATATGTCGCCCCTTGGCCTACAGCTCCATCATGTCAAAGAGACACGTCCTTGCCGGCTGCATATTTATTTATATGTTTAGAATTGCAATTGCCTGTTTACACTTGGTTTGGTTTAAATGGGCACCGGGCACTGATTGCAAGGTAGAAAAAGTTCTGAATCCTGTGTTGTTACGCGGGAACACAGCTCTTTTGGTTCCAATATTCCTTGCATCTGTTGGTTGTTACGTCGCAATATTTCGAAGAGTTGTGCTTATAAGACGAAACCAAAACCAAGCCTCTTCACTAATTGTTATACCGAAACAGGTTTCTGACATTCAAGACACGTGCGCTATTGAGACAGTGGATTCTGGTGTATATCGAGAAGCAAATGAAGATAATTGCTCTATTCCTTCTCAGAGCTCAGTACAAGGAATCCATGTTCAGTTCGATAATGAAGACAGTGCATGCTCTGGATCACGTGACACACTCTCAGGTGACACACTGACAGGGGTAACTGTCATGTCTAGGTCATTTTCAGTGAGACAAAAAGATGGAAAAACTAAACACAGGAGCAGGAAAGGAAGACTTGAACAGAATGCAGAGATGCATCAGTCAAGGAAGGAATGTAGATTAATCAAAACAATTCTAATAACAGAATGTGTGTATCTGATGTTTTATTTTCCATATGTATTGTTTTTATGGGCTAGTATCAGCAAGGAAGATGAGATGTGGTTCGTCTTAACAAGATATGTTTTAAAGTCACTTTTTACTGTTGGTTGCGGAACGAACCCTATCATTTACGGGGTGCTCAACAGAAACTACAGACTTGCCATGAAGCAACTTTTGAGAATGAGAGGTGCTAGATGACTTAATTTAGACTTTATATGCCAATGGGATCGAATTTACTGGGTCAATCACGAACACTAAACTAATCATCCATATTTAGTGTCTCTTTAAAAAGGTGTGTGACGTACTTGATGGATCCTTCAAGTCGCCCCGGAGGCCGTGTTAATTTGTGATTGGCCTAGAAAACCTGATTCGCAGGCGTCAATACGCAATGCGTGTAGGATGTCGGTGCTTAAGAACTTTTTCAAGCAGATAGATAATATTCAAAGGTTTCGTGTCCAAGAGACAGACAAGAATTGCCTTATCCTGTATTCTAATTAAAGTGATTTATATAAGTTTTTTTTTGCGTTTTTACCATCTCTATTTACTTGTTGGTATAATTCATAATGTACTGTCCCTACACAAGTTTATGTTAAAAACTTTGTCTATCTGTTCATGACAGATATTTTAATTGGCTGGCCTGGTTTTGCTTTCTCCACTTTCTTTAATATATAGGCAAATAGCCAAGCAAGTAATTGAATAAACCTACTTTGATCAAATTTACTCACTCACATTTGGTTATTATCAATCAAAGTGCATTTTGCACGTACGACATTTGCAATGAATATAAGGCAATTTTGAAAAAATATCTTTTGATTTCGTGATCGTTCTGTATAGAAATTGATTACTTGTAAACAGTTAACGGCTGAGTTAACGGGTGAATGTTTCGAGCTGTTGTTTGAAAGACGTCTATGAAAAAACTTTTAGCCCAGAAACTTTTTCGTTTTCTACTTTTAATAATCAACTAGAAAGACATTTATTTCTTTTCTTTTCTTTTTTTTGTCACCTTTTACACTGTTAAATACATTTACACTGAATCATTAGCCTACTTAATAAAATAAGTGGAAAGTTTTTGCCTGCAAACAGTCAACCACAAGTAGGCCCACAAGCTTAGTTTTACTTACCTGTCTGATCCATTCATTTGTTTCTACAACATAGTAAATAAATAAATAAATAAATAAATAAATAAATAAATAAATAAAATAAATAAATAAATAGATAAATAAATAAAAACAAATAAGAGATCAATGCATATTAGTTATTAAGTTATTTTAAAGTATGTAGGCCTACATGTAAAAACCCAAAACTATACCTGCATTACAAACGACATGCCATCAGTGGGTACTACCATCCTCGTTTTAATATTTCCGTCTGCTTTCAGGAAAGCTCATGTTTTAGTGAAAGCATTACAGAGATACTTACAACTGATTATCAGCATTTGGGCTGTTCATCTCGCAATTATTGTCTTGGGAAAATCAAGTTATGTTACAATAACGTCGACACATGCGAAGTTTATTCTTTGGACCGTAGCTTTTCGGCCCATATAGCAGCATTTTGGTCTGTGTCTTCGAAAATTGACCGTAACTGGCTAAGGTATAGAAAATGCAGCACACCATATTACTTATGGTTAACGTTCTGATGATCAAATACTTAGGAGCCTATGCAGGTAAGTGGGTTTTTATTTAAGATAAAAAATGAAAATAGAATAAATAAGAGAATGAACGAAAAAAGGACGCAATCGTATTGTATAATTTTGAATGAGTTGGGGAAAACGTGAGGAAACAAGTGTTGCTGTTACAACAATGAAAACGGGTAAAAATGTTTAGAGAAATTGATTTCTCTCGAAGGTTGATTTACTTAAATATTTCAAGAATCTGAAGTGAAATGATATCTTTGTCCACATTCTAAGAGGCATGACAATATCCCTAAGGCCAAAACTGTACCTCTAAAGAAAAGTGTGAGAGTATTTTTCAAGCCCTGTTGAAAAGATGAAGAAAAGTAGAAATAAACCTGTTCTGGGATTTAATTTTAGTATGCACTTTATCATTCCCTGAAAGGAGTTCTTTCCGTAGCGTCCCACCTGTAAACCTGTCTCTTCGACTTCGTATTTTTTCTTCATTTTTCTTCACATTAAGTTTAAAACATCCTTTATTTATCCTTCTATTATTTTGAACCCTCAACATTAAATGTAGGGGTACAAATGTTGTGGATTATACCCGAGACGTGAATTAAACATCAAACCTACAGTCACGTGCATTATTGCATATCTGAGAAGATGACATAACGACCGCCACCAATTTTGATTATTTGTTTTGTATTTTGATACAAAAAGAACATTATCATTATTATTTAAACTATCAAATTTCATAACAGATGATGTATTTCCTGTATAAAGAAGACCGTGTGTTTGGTGGTCCTTGTTATACGAAAAGGGGTAAAATCAACGATGAAAGCAATCTAAAAACAGCAATGAACTCTCCTCGTTAAATAAATAAATAAATAAATAAATAAATAAATAAGAGGATTGCGGTGTATTGATGTATTATGAATGTATTTGGGTCTCCTTATCTATCTTTCAGCTAACAGATCCGAATCCTTGGAATGCTACGACTGCATATATGTCAAGGCCTCCGCGGATGAGACAGCTTTTAACCGAGACTTGATGGGGTCCAGCTTTCCCCAAGATCTCAGCTGTTTGGATGTCCACAAGGTGAGACCGAGGACAGGCAAGGAGAGGTTGTGTCAGAGTGGGGCCTGTGTTCGCGGCAACGTCAGTTTTACCATGAAGTTCCCACTTCCTGGATTTTCTGAGGTGGGTTAAAGCAAAAGTGGTGTGTATCTAAGATTTACTATGAACTAGCTATCCGCCTTTGTATGGCAAATAAATAAAAAAAAAAAAAAAAAAAAATAAATAAATAAAATTAATTGTTAAATTCATAAAGTGAAATAAATTTAATAAAGAGAAGAAAATTCATGGAATTTGCAAATATTTTCCCGCAATTAACAAGGTTTAACCAGGCCCAGCTATGGAGAAAATAGCGAACTGTAAACCCGTTTTCGTGATATAAATTTCTATTGTAACCGTTGGAATTCACCAGTTTTCATCTCCAGTAAGAAAATGACGCAAAAATCTTGCAACTCAAAATGGGATTATAGATTGTCATTTTGTACAAGGTTTATTGCCTTGTTGAGTAATTATTGCTTATTTAAAAAAAGTATGTTTGAAACGGTTGAACAAAATTATCAATTTCTGACCGCAGTGCCAATTTTTGTTACTAGATAGACAATTAAAAAAATCGCTTCCGATAGATTTAAAACGGGACTCACTGTTTGGAGATTAATCATTTGATTGGATCATTATTTATGATCCCTTTCTTTGGTTCCTTTCAGTCTTCCAAAAACCCACACCCACTTATACTTCATTTGTTAAGCTCTCAGTTTTCAAAGCTCTGATCTTTTTCTTCAGAACAAGTACAATATGGATCTCCACCTCACAGCTCGGTCCTGTGCCCCAGAGGGTCTTGCTGGAGCAAATGGCTGTCATCAGTTCGATCCCCATGACAACGACACGTGGGACACGAGCTTCTTCCCGACCTTGACCCTTTCAGGGAACGTGATTATCGGAAACATCACGGGAGAAGTGTGCGTGTGTGACGACGAGAGACTGTGTAACGGAGGAACGTCAGATCTCGCGAGATTCCACGAGTACCTGGCCCGCGCGATCAGTCTTTTCTTTCTGATTTTGTTTCTCTGGTGTGAACTTTATTCATAGATAACGTACAAAGTTTAACATTGCTTTTTTAGAAATTACATGCCAGAAAAGAAGTATTCTTTTATGTGTAGCAGTCATACAGCAAACCTGGAAAACGGGTGATTTTTTAGTAAAAGATAATGGTTGCAGTTGTTGCGTATCAAATTTCTTTGGTATAAAATCTAGAAGCTTAACAATTGTTTCATTCTATTAAATAAGTTCAAAAAGTTTCCTCGTTTTGTTCAGGAACTATTCTTACTATTTCATTGTATGTATTTGCAGTGCACTCAATTCTAATCAAGTTGAAGATATTTGATTGGAATTCATCTAAATGTAAGTATTTTTTATTTGTTAACAATAAATTTTATGATTTGTTTGTGAATATAAGTTGAACGATTTTAGTATTCTATCATGACTAAAGTGCCCCGATAATATCTACTTGTGGGAGGCAGGGGCGGATCCAGGATTATATGAAGGGGAGGGGGGAGCCAGGATCGACAGGCCTCGGATTCGAAGCCGACCGTCATCCCTTTATTGTTGGGTTCAGGGCCTGCTCAAGGGCCCCGTATAATTTTTAGTGTTTTGGACAGCAAACAGTGCCCTTTTGGTACGGTTTAGAGGGGAATATTGGTGTGATATATTTTTTTCAGAAACCGAGGGGGGGGGGGGGTCAGGACCCCCCCCTGAACCCCCTCTAAATCCGCCACTGGTGGGG